TTTTCTGGCTGTTAATATTTTCAGATGTTTTTCATGCCTCTAGGCCAAGATTCCATGCAAGATATTTCCTTGTAGCTTCCTACTTGTTTTGAATTAGGTTACTTTTAGAACTGAATTTACTTCTGTGGTAAGGATAGGCTTGATTCAGGACATAATGTACAGTTAGCTCTATACCAGAAGGACTTGGGACTCTTGGTTTTTACTCAAGTGGGAGGAGGAATGCTTGCTTTACAGTTTTGTTTATACCGTAGCTCATACTGCATGCAAGTTATATTTCCTTAATAACAAATTCATAATAATATTATGAAAATTAATATAAAAACATAAAACAAAAAGAAGCTTCCTATCACTACTCTACATTCGCCAATACTCTACTCCTCTAGGCTAGTCTGACCTTCTTTACATGTCAGTCTAAAGAGTATCTATTATAGACCATACTACTGTGGGGTATTCTAACTTCCCTAAGGGTGAAGGACTTTAGCCACTGCATCTCAAATCTGCTCACAAGAGTAAAAGCTCTTGAGGTCATATACATAATAGTAGTGACTTGTTATTCCAATCAAAAGTCTTACCAACTATTGAACTTCCTACCCATATGTATTTCTTCATTATTCACTTAGTACAATCTTTTTGACATCTACTGGGGTCTACTTAATTGTATCATATCCCAATACTAGACCACGTAGCTGTATAGTGGACTCTTCTTTCTGGCCTGTCCAAGTTATAGGCGCTATTTGTAGACAACCTTGACAAGTACCTATTTGCTACACAGAACCTACAGACAATTTAAGTTCTTAACAACTTTTTCATAACATTTAAAGACAGGTGACATGGTTTACCAGTAACCTTAATAGAGGCTGGATGGTGAACTTAGTCAAATACCATTGCATAGATGCAGGCCTAGGTCATGCCCCAGTATATTTCATAAGAGGGTATTCCTCTGTACATCGAACTTCTTTCTGTAGACTTTAAACCACCCCTAGTTGACCTTTCCTGCCACTCCAGTAGTCTAGGTCCGATATACATAATGAGACCTGATTCGAATGTCCTCAGAATACCCTAGTACCCCTTATATAGCCTGCAAATAGCTTCTGGTCAACTAGACAGCCAGAGCCTCTATACTGTTACATAAGTGTCTTCACTGGTACACATTAATTAGGCTTACAGCAACCCTCTTTACTATAGCCCATAATGCTAGTAACTTATAAATGGGCTTGAGGAATTTGTTAGATACCATACCTCCAAATTACAACTTCTTAAGAGATTAACTACTTGTAAAGGCAATGATCTGTACAACTTCAAATTCAAATTCCCTATATAGTTAGGCGTGGTAAAGAATCTTGTAACTTCCCTGTAACTCTTGCATAACAAGTTACTTTCAATGTATAGTAACTTGGCTCTTTAGCATGATAACCTGTAGCCCATAGTAGAGTAACTATAGTCCTAAGATAGGGTAACTCTACTTTGACATAATGTTAAGTGCTACAAGATTATTCCTAAATTAGCTTCTTAGGTTACCCTACCTAGTAGGATAACCTTCCATCCCTTACTAATACCTAACTACCTACAGTACTGTGGGACCTTGTCTACTTAAAGTACCTAACCACTGGTAACTCTCCTTGGTAGACTATAGCCTACCATTATTCCTATCTTAGTAGACTCTTGACTCAAGTATGGGTATAGGTCTGGCCTTCTATTGTAGCTACCATTCTCAAAGGTGTTACATTATATTACTTACAGGTCAAATTAAACCTTATCATAAAAAATAGGTTAATTACTAACAATAGTCTTGTAGAAGATAAACTCCAACAAATATTTAGATTCTGTTTAGCATGATACACAATAAAAAAAAGGAATTTCTGTGGAAAAATTAGTATTTGGCAAGCTCAAATTTTCCTTGTCTTTACTTCAATATGTAATAATCATTTGGAGTATAATCAATAATAAGATATTGATAGAATATGTTATACTTAAAAATTAAAATATCAAAAGATTTGTCTCTACCACAACCATAATAGAACTTGCTATTTGTAAATGCAAGGACTCTTAATCATGAAGTGAGATTGTTCATCACTTTCCTCTTACAAGCACATGTTTTAATGATGTTTCTAAATAGTAGAATCCACCAGATTATTGAAAATCTGAATATTTAGAGAAAACTTATCAAAAAAACTTTTGTTTTTCAAAAATATCTATTACTGTACCATAATTGAATATATGCAAGAATGAATTATATATATTATTTGAAATAAAATACTATATAATCTAACTTATAAAATAGTCTAACTTGAACAAGTATATAATTTGATATCAAAAAAGAATAAGTTATTTCTATCCTAATTGTCTTTGATGAATTACAAACTAAAAGAATACTGAAAATAAAAAAACAATATTTTAAAATACCATGGTATTTTGTATCTATCAAATACCTCTTGAAAATCTTCATTTAATACAGAAGAAAAAACTGAGAATATGTGAGAAATACTCAGTTTTCTGATATGCTAAATAGGACCTTAATTGTAATATAAGAATTATATAAATTTAATGCTTCTAGAAAATCATAGGCTTATGAGTAAATAGGTATACCCTTATTGTAGAAATAATCTATCAAACTATTCTAGATTCATATAAGGCTTGTCAAAGGCTTGTATAAAATCAATGAATTCCTATAAAGTAAAGTACTAGGTAAAATGCTTTTGTCTGGTGATGCAACCACAACTCCACAACTACTATAAAT